GGTCACCTACCTACCCTCAGTAGAATCAATGCTGCAAAAATATCAATAATTTTCTCCAACCATCTCTCAGCTACATCGAGGTCAGATCCTCCAAGAAATTTTGGTGGGTAGAATTTTTGAAATCGTTCAAGGGTTCTATCTTTCCCTTCCACATGATTTTCAGGGTTTTCAGGTTGATTAATAGGGTTTTGGCCCTGATGGTCCACTATTTGTGCTAATAGATCGGTCATATATTGGATAGCTGTGGCTACTTGTGCGTTGGAATCGGCCCCTGGCTCGCAATTTTGTTCAGCCGCTAGTTCACAATTACCTCTTTCATTCAAGGGTTGCCTGAGTCCATGCCCACGGTCTCGTCCACTGCGTCTACTCTCCATCAATTTTTAAAAAGTTTAGGGTCGGAATGCAGATGCAAAATTAAAAATTCATAAATACATGGGTAAAACGTAAAAATATAAACAAGCCAAAAGTCAAGTACATCTAACACAATCCTTTCATACATATCTTACAGTAAAAGTCAAGTACAAGCAAAAACAATCATAGTAATACAAATCGCAGGATCATATCAAAAGTACAATAAATAACAACTATACCAAAAGTACAAAAACATCCAATTAGGGGCTTTCCTAACTACCCTCACATAGGGTCAAAACATGGCTCATAGAAGCTCTAACCTAGTTCCCAACAGAGCTAGTAAATGTTTCAGTTCTAGGGCCATGGCCTACGTCAGCCAAATTTGCATCCACCATCTCTCCAAATAGAGCCTTGCATTCTTGCAAAATACCCTCAGTTCGGTCTCCTACTTCTCTTGGTACCCTAGTGAGGCGTTTATTAATCACTTGCACCTACTGACACATAGCATCCGTCCGTTCTTGCTCTTCTACATCTCCATAATGTCTCTCATTCTTTCCATCTTAATTTGGTCCCTAAAATTGGCACGCCTAAGGCTTCTCCTCTCATCTAGCACCGTCAAAACCACATGATCAGCATAGGAGTAGTTCTGGCAACGACTACATCTCCTAGTCTGACTTGCGGAACTCCAACGTCGAATTGGTCTCCCTGGCCTCTCCTCATAATCAATAATTTGAAAGCGCCTCCGAGAGGGTTCACTTCCACCCTCTCCACTAGTTCCTTCCATGACCTACAAGGATAAGCACTATTTACAACTTAGGCAAGGTTAATCATACTTAATAACATCCTAAAGCGTCACACTAGAGTTCCTTAGAATCAAATTTCTATTTCTTCTAAGCCATTTCTAACCTAGGTTCTGATACCAATTGTGACAGCCCCACCTTCCTTTAGAGAGTACCCTAAGGGTAAGGGTTAGCAGACTGCTTGCCCAACTCTTACCAAAATTAACTAAACCAAAATTCACAGAAAGTACTAAAACGCACAGTTAACTTCCAATCATCAACCCAAAACTATATACAATAGAGTCACTAACGATTCAAACTTGAAGTACAACCCAGAGTATTCAATTTTATACAAATACATGTAAGGTTTACTAATACAGAGGAGTTTAAACAAAATGCCTAAAAGCTATAACTAGCTCAACTCTTCCCAAAAATCAAGCTTCCAAAATTTCACCCCCTATAAGGAAAACAAAGATGACAGAGTGAGCTTTCGTCCAATGAGGTACCACAGGTCATGCAATAGAAATCACATAGTTAAAACTTTAATCTATCAAATATAAGTATCAAGTAAAGGAATAAATAAACACCACAACTAATACAGTGCGGTTCAAATAAAAGGATACAGATGGCTCTCAAGAGCCAACTTTTCCGGTCGCATTAGCTTGATCCAATCTTGTTGACCTTTCGTCAACGTTTAGAGAAGCAAAACATTGACTGTACATCTCTACTTTACACCAATTTTTGCCTATCAAACATATTTCTTACTGGGCCCGAACACCAAATAGAAATATTAGTGGTAATATTCGAGTATACCAATTATCAGAAGTATCCAGTATTTAGTAAATCAGTGACAGTTTTCCTCATGACCGATCAATCTACCTCGACCAGCCCTTACTGGCTCGATTCGATTAACTACCAACGAGGTTGAACTCAAATTCACAGTAAAGTCATCGGATATTGGGCATCCAAATGACATCCAAATCATGCACAAGTAATAGATTTCAAATGAACAGTAGACCAGTCAAATAGTCAAGTGGAATCGATTGTGATAAAGTACACGCTCGTCCAATCCAAATTCAACCAAATCACAGTCATACAACTCATAAATTTCAGTCACAAGTAGTTCACTTTAAACAACAAGTCATACAAGTGGTATACTCACCGTTTTAAAGTACCGGATTGTGCTCGTTTCCACGTCAAACCTTCAAAGTAACCAAGACAAGATGTTATGGTCCAACCATTCAAAACTTAGGCTAATGAAGTGCACACTTTAAATTCAACTATGAGCCATACGCCTATACGAGTTTGGCCTCTTAAAATACAAAGCTCATAGACAAACTTGAAAGCCAATCGAAGAATATCCAAGTGCATTCCAGGGCTATGATTCAAGTAAGTTATTAGTATGAAAAGAAAAACACTTAGATTCAAAAGATGTAAGAAACCAAAAGAGGAAACTTATATATTTATAACTCATGAATCTTAGCAAGACATAGGTAAGATATACGCACCACTATTAGAAGAAAACAACCAATCTTGAGTCTAAAGTTGGGCAAACGAAACTAGAGAGCATGATAGAGGAAACCATTAATTTTCTCTTGTTTTACACATGGTTTTTGACAAATTTTCAGCTTATCTGTCACTATCAAGGTGGACTCAAGCAATCATAAGTAACCAGAATCCAAACCAACCCAAAATCACCCCTCTAACATCTCTTATATCACAAGAAAGAAAATAACAAAAATTTCTGCAGCACTTCCCCTTATTTCCTTGATTTTTCCTTCCAAATTCAACACTTATCTTCATAGCAATCCAACCTCAATCACAACCACAAGTCATAGGTTATAAAGTATACTTGTTTAAGGCCACAAAACTACCTAAAATAGGCAATTATCTAGCTCAAACACAATCATATCAAAGCTGGAAAAATGTAACCCTAAGCTGAAATTTACCTCTACAAGTTTAAATTTTCTATAATGAAGCCAAAATAACATATAAAAACTAGAAAATTCACATGACAAAGCTAATAAATCATAGCCAAACTCAAACCAACATATCAAAGCTGAAATTTCTCACTTAAACCTGGAATTTTCCAATCACCACACAAATCATGAAATTTTTCATGAAATCCACCAAAATCAAGTCTTAAATCTACTCATATGCAAGTAATAAAAGAAAGGATGGTTTCTTGGTGTGTTTACCTTCAAGCCCTAAGGAGTTATGCAACCAAAAGTTCCCTTTCCTCCAAAATCTTTCCACCAAAGTCCTTAATCCTTCCTAAATGTCACTTTTTATGGAGTGGTTTGCAAGTTTTGGATGAAACTTCAAGGATTCAAGCAAGAATGGAAGGTTAAAGATGAAGTTTTTTCTCTCTTTTTCTTGTTCAAGGAGTCGGCCAAGAGCAAGGAAAGATGATAGGTTTTTTTTGTCAATTTTTTTGTTAATTAAAGGTTAAGAATGGTGTTAGTCAAAGTCAAAGCTCCATGGTTTTGTTGACAAATGTCTTCCAATGGTTAATCCTTATCTAATGATCTTCCAAATGCTAACATATCTGGTCAATCTCTAATTATCCCTTAACACCTTATAAAACAATATCCCTCTGTACAAAACTCCTTTTAATCTTTAAAATTTATCATACACACCTCACTAGTGGGTCCTACTTCCATAATACACTACAAATTTAACATGTACTAACTTATAGAAGAAAAATGATTTAAAAACTTGACTCACTTCTAAAAAAATCTAGGAAATTAAGACAATAAAGTAAAATAAAGAAAATGCATTCAAAAAATAAAATAAATAAAAATAATTTTCGGATCCTCACATATTGATTCAGATGTGTAATTTGGTACCATATTATTTGGTAATTAAAGGTAAATGATTTCTAAAAGAAATATTCACCAAGATCAAAATTTGTTAGGAAATTGGTTTAATTTTTTTAAAATAGGTTTTTATATTGTGTGGAAATAACTAATTTTCTAATTGTTTTAGTTACTTGAATTAGTAACCAAGAAATTTTTTATTTGTATAAGTTTGGAATTAAAATTTTTTTTATTATGTATAAGATTAGGAATTAGCAGTTATTTTCTATTATTACTAGAGTATTGGCCAAGTAATATAACTTATAAATAGGCGGAAGTTGGCATACTACAAGATAGCATACAAAGAGAACATGTAGTTTTGTAAATGGAATAAAATAGGGTTCTTAGAAGAAGAGAGATGGGATACAAGAAATAAGTTTGGATCTAAATTGTATTCTTGTATAAAATTTTCCTCTTATAATGAAGAATCAGTTTTCTCTCCGTGAACGTAAACTCAATGATGAAATCGAATCACATTATATTTTATCTATCATTTATCTGTCATACTTGTGATTTGTTTGTTATTAAATTATTGTGTACTTGATATCTCAATAATCGTTTATTTCACAATTAGATCTCAACAGTTACTAATGGAAGCAAAGTTTCAACTTTTTGAATTCAAGAAGTACGATCAAGCAATTTAGCTTTCACAAGGATTTGGAACAGGAACAATTGCAGGAAGCAACCGTTTCGGAAGGTTGATGGCCAAGATTTGGCCAAAAATATATATATAAGGTTCAGATTTTATCTTGTATATTATTTTTTACACTATGTGTGGAACTTACAAAATTTTATTTTATAATTACACGTTATGCAAAGTGACTTGCATCATGTGCAAACTGAGTTATATCTTGTACAAAATGCACAAAACTCTATTGACTGCTCCTACACCAAATCCACTTTCACAAGTATTTAACCTCCATTGTAGTACATTAGAACCAGTACTTAATACGAGATGAATTATCTGAATAGGAGAACTTGTTCATGGTCATAGTTAAAGGGCAATTAAAAGTTGACAGGTAGCGAACAATAATCTTCATTTTTGGTAGAAGCTGTTTTTCATGTAATCAACCTGCAGCCACTTTTACATTCTACACCAACATGCATCTATCTATCTTCACAGCCACTCTAGAACACGACTCTGATTTGAAATTGTATATACAGACTATTCTTTTTCCAACAAAAGGACCTCAACTATAAATTTGGGCTCAACAAGAAGACCGCAAAGCATATCTACCTGCAACAATGAAAATATCCACTTCAAAGTTCTATCAGAGCTCAGATTTTGCATTCAAAGGAAGCTGAAAGCAACCAGTATCCAATCTCTGGGATGCAGCTGGCTTGGAAAAGTTGTTAGATGAATGATTTTTCATTATGTTATGCCCTGAATCAGCAACATTCACTGGCAATGGTAGCACCTGAACAGGTCTTTCAATTTTCACAGGCCTTGATTTGTTTTCAAAACCAGGAGGAATTTCTATGCCTGCTTCGCTTGAATTAGTAGGATCCACTGCCAGTGGCAGCACCTCTTCACATTGTCTTGAAATAATAACATCCATTTTTCCCACCTCTTCCCCACCCACCATGTCTATTTCCATGTCATCAGATGCTGCGACAGAGGCAGCAATAATATCTGTTGCCAGCGGTACCAGCTGAAGAGATGCCCTAGGAACAGCAACATCAATTCTTCCAACCTCTTCCCCAGCCATCATGTCAACGTCCATGTCAATGTCCTGATTGCTGTTCCATTCACCAGGAAATTCATAAGCACCATCAACCTGACATGCATGTCTTTTAGCTTTTTTCAAGGAATGAAAAACTCCCCATAGAAAGTGTCTCCCATTCCATTCTGTCAAGTCATTTAAATAAAAGGCAAAACAGGGCATGTCAGACAGTAGCACCGACAGAACCACTATAGATATTTCTTGTCATTTATGTAAGAAACATGACATTCTGTTACAACTCATTTAAACTTAAATGAATTAGCACCACTAGCATATCAATCATAAAGTCATCGTGTTTTGTCTACATTTTCATTATAGAAACCTATATGAAGTATCCTTAAATCACAAACACAAAGTTCAACTCAGAATAGGAAGTAGAAGGTACATAAAGATTTGAACCCCCGGAAGGGATTAATCCAGTTCTCTACCTTTCAATTGCAGTTTGTATTTTTCTTTATGAAAGAGATAAATGACACAAGTCGCCACTTTTTTTTGGCCGATTACTCTGAGAATAGAAGCATCTCGGAGTTTACATACTTCACAGATGAAGACCAGACATCTCTAGTTCTACCATTTAGGTTCAAGACAACACCCGTTAACTGAAATTATGCCAACACCGTGTGTATTTGATTCTTAAAACAAGACTGGTAACTCTTTAACAAGCACATCAACTAACACTTCATAACTGGACAAGAATCAGAAAATAGTAGGAGATCTCGCCTTGGCAGTCAAAGCTCAAGACTTTAGATGTAAATATTAACAGCTCAATCCCATCCATTAGGTTTCGCATTGCTAAGTCCCCTGCTTCCATGGCTTCTAGCAATGAGAAATAGCTCTCACACCTACATGTCAAGACAAAGTATCTAATTATCAGATATAGAAAAAAAGAGCAGTAGAGGCAGAAACTTTTTGCCACATCCCAAAGACTACCTCTCAATAAAACCGGGAAAGAAGTACAGTCCAATATCTCTTCTGTCAAGACAGTAATTCTGGAACAAGTTTGGCCAAAGATCCCCCCGTGGAATCAATTCAAACCCAAGAATTTCAGGCATATGCTTTGAAAATTCATACACCTTTCTAAGGACTCTGGAAGGAGGATAAGCTTGAACTCCATTCATTTCCCCATGTTCAGGATCATTATAAATCTTCAAGCGTCCTCTACAAACAGCAAAAAACTTGGTTGCATTGGTAAAGAGAAATGATCAAGAATTTGGGAAAATTTAAGGCATGCATCATGATTCAAATAAACATTGCACAGACCCAGGAAGTAATTTTTTTGGTTGTAGAAGTCAATAGAATAATCAATATGAACAGGAAGCAAGGCAACTATAGTACATTGGTAAAGAGAAATGACCATATAATAAGTTGTAGGAGGCCCAATTAAGCCACACAACCATCAGTGAGATCACAACTATGTGTGTTGCAGCATCAGAAAATTCAAGTCAATCATGAGGTTTTTCCTGAGCATTAAGCACTTGAAGTAGTTCCAACTTGTAATGTTACTAAGTGAAAAACAAAGACATGGCTCCATGATTATAAAAGAAAGGGATTGGTGATTCAGGTAATGTCGCCAAGATAGAAGGCAATTTTTACTGGTTGCATACCTAAATTCGAGAATCCCTGTACCTTTTCAGAAACAACATTAGTAGTTTCTTAAATAAATTAAGCATAATATACTGAGGAATTGCTGTTAAGGTAAAGTTTACAATCAAGCATAATATAATAAGCCCAAGTGAGCAGAAAATGCAAGGATTCTTAAAGAAAATACAACAAAGCTAAAAAAATCCAGGGAATTGCATTTAAATGCACATAGAGAACACCAAAGAAGGTAAAGTATGATATAATTCACCAAACATCTCCTAATACCAGAAATGTTGATAATCATTCAAGGTAATCATTCTCACAATGGAAATTATTCTGTAATGGCACCTGAGTTATTTTGCATGTTTGTTTTAGACAGTTTTTTCCCTACTTTAGCTATAGGAACCCTCTATAAACATAGAGGGTTGTTTTTTGGTACATAATCTAGTATCTGTTGACTAAACTCTTCATACCAAAAACAATTTAGTATCTGTGACTAAACTCTTCATACCAATAAACAAGTCATCGTTGTGATCTGTAACTAAACTCTTCATAGAGCAATTCTGAACTTGCAGATAATTTAGTATCTGTGACTAAACTCTTCATACCAAAAAACAAGTCAGTTGACAAAAAGTAGATCTACTTACTTCCAGGTAGCATCTAAAGCAGGACCACTTGAGCATTTCCTGACCTCGGGAAAGATACCAATTGGATCAGCGGTCCTAGAATCAGTCTTCTCAAGCTCCAGATTGAGGAAAACATCACCACCTGAAAAATCAGATATCCTCATTTGATGTATGGAATACCTTGATCAACCATGATAGCTTTTACTAGTTAGAAATATAACTAAATCAAGCACATGTACTCAAGCAGTTTATTAAAGATGATTCTAAAACCAGGCTGAAAGAATTTACCATTTCCCTTATATCTCTGAATTTGATTGAAATCACAAAAAGGAGTAGTAATTATCTTGCCTGAATTAACACTTGCTTGACCACATGCCACTGGTGAAGATGCAGAGACTGTTTTGATAATTTCCTTCTCCACCCTAATTTCTGCTTTATACTTAGAAGTATCCTTAGGCTGTTCCTTCTGCAGTTCTCCCTTCAAGGAAGCCTGCAAAGGACCTGTTTCTGCAACAGCAATTCAAATTCAACAAACTGCATCAGGGATCAATGCAGATTCAGGAAAATTAAAGCACATTAAGGAATTTAGACGTCTCTCCTTGGTCCACCATCAAGCGGGTTCCACTCCTGATTAAGATAGTCCAAATGCAATTCCGGTTTTTTAACCATTGCAATTTGTCCTAAAACTGGTTTAGAAATTTTTGGCACCACCAAAGAAGACAAGTCAACAAATATCAGTGCCGTGCAGCTTGAGCTAAAACATTTTACCAAAGGTACCATGGTCTCCTTCAACATAAAGAGGTGAAAATGGAAAATAAACATACTACACACTGTTTAGTTTTGACTGAACAATCCATAGTTGACACAAAGTCCTAAAGCATCACCACCTGAAAGATTAGATGTCCTCATCTCATATGCGGACAACCTTGATCAGCCATGATAGCTTTAACTAGATGTCAGGGATATAACTAAATCAAGCACATGCAGTCAAGTGGTTTTGTTAATCATCACACTAACATCAGGCAGTAACAATTTATCACCTCCCTCATACACTGACTTACATCAAAACCATGAACAGGAGTGGTAAATTATCTTGCCTAAGTTTACACTTGCTTGACCACATGTCGCTGGTGAAGAAGCAGAGACTGCTTTCGTGATTGCCTTTCCCACCCTAATTTCTCCTTTATCCTTAAAAGTATCCTTAGGCTGTTCCTTCTGCATTTGTCCCTTCAAAGAAGCCTGAATAGCACCTGTTTCTGAAACAGCAATTCAAATTCAGCAAACGACATACCAGAGATCAATGCAAATTCGGAAAAAATAAAGCACATTAAGGTATACAGATGTCTCTCCTAGGTCCACCATCAAGCAGGTTCCACTTCACAATTATGATTGTTCAAGCATAATTCCAGTGTTCTACCATTACAACTTGTCCTAAAAAAGGGTTTAGAAATTTTTGGCACCGCCAAAGAACACAAGGTTACAAAAATTAGTGCTCTGCAGCTTGAGCTAAAATGTTTTACAAAAGGTAATATAGTTCCCTTCAAAATAAAGATTTGAGAATAGAAAATTAACATATAATACATTGTTTACTTTTGATTGAACAATCCATAGTTGGCACGAAATTTCTTTACCATGCAACACCCTTTGCAAATGGATAAAATTAGCATATTACAAGAGTAAAATTTTGCCAGTTTATATTTATCTCTGTTACTTCCACCAAGACTAGAATTTGTGGATAAACAATGTAGTTAATAACCTCTTAGTCCTTTGAAAGATTGTGGAACATGCTGCCCAGGCACCGTATTCAACTGGGAGTTGTTAGGTCTTACTGCTTTCAACTGTTTTGAGGTTACGAAAGAAGGATTTGCTCTAACTATGTGTATTGAAGACTCTGCAGGTATAGCTTTTGGCTTGACAGGAGTTCTATCCAAAGCAGAGGCTCCATTCTTCCAGGATACTGGTTTGGTGCTGCATGTGGACTTGGACTTAACGGGGGAATTAGATTTCTTAGCTCCCGATGATAGCATAATAACTTCTTCAACATGCATATACTTCACTTTTCCATGAGGGATCTTCTTGTCAATCCCATTCTGCCTCAAATCACAAGGTTGCTTGTTAGGTTGAGAACTTTTGTGCAGCCTGCTAGCCGTTCCGAATTGCGACCTGCAAACCAAGTCTTCCATAAAGCCAGATGTTGATGACAGCATTTTAATGCTGAGAAGACAATCATCGCAGCACCAATCTTTTGGAGAAAGCATCACCACAGAGCCACGCATGCAGTAACTTGCAAAAGAAGAAGCACAAGATTATACTAACTTAAATTTAAAACAATATCAGAGCTCGCAATTGCAGAAGGCATAATGAACCATGCATTATATCCACTGGCATTTTGAATTATATATAAAGTGGCTTTAAAAAACTGGAAAGGAATTTATGGTGGCAAGATGCAGTGTGTTCGTAACAAAAATAAGAAAATCATTGTTTGCAACAAATGAACTTGCAAACTTCACATGCAACGGTAAATAGGTAAATGTCCAAAAGATACAAAGACAGAGATATATCTTTATTTACAAGGGATGGAGATAGAGAGAGAGTGTGAGATCTTACATGTGTTCACAAGAAATTTTGCATTGAGGGCAAGTTTGAATTGCATCACTGACACCTATGTCACCACAGATATCACAACACTTCTCCTACAGATTGGGACAGAAAATTTTCAGATTACTTATTAATGTATGTTGGTTTATGAAAGGTTTTGGCACTAAATGGACAGTTAGTGCTCAGAACAAGAAGCAATTTTCAAACCAACAGTGTAAGAGATTCACAATGCTATCTATACATTTTTCTCCATATAAGTGATGAAATTCATAACATTGGGATTCAACTCTTATGATAAGAACCACCAAGATTAGTATAAAATGCAACGGTTAATTGTTCAACAATGGACCAATTGGTGCAATGGTAGGTCAATTATCTTCTGTACAAGCTATAGGATCCTCCAGCACAACCACTAAAAGGTTCTACAAATAAAAAGTAAAGTAAAATCAAAATATAGAGAATCTACCCAAAACCATTTTGACTTTGTTTTTTTCTCAACTCAAAGCAGAGACTCAAACAGTGACCAATATTACCAAAAACTTGACTGACTCATTCATCAAATGCTACAGTGAGCAATACCAAACTGCCTCTTTATTTTAAAGCAAGTAATACATGAACTTCTTTGTACAAAGAGATTATAAAAGTAATACACTGTTCTTGAACTCAACAAATTCCAAGGTCACTTAGGATTCATATGACATAAAAATACAACAAAACTAGTCTTGCTTAAAACATAACTGAAGCTGTTATGGTGATGGTAGTTTGATAAACCACTTCCAATAAATGCCTTTATCTTATTTATGTACTTCCAACATATGCACACAAGTCAAATTGTTCTAGGATTCGTCCTTACATGAGGGCCTGGATCATCAGCAAAGGAACTGCTCCGTAATACCAAAATATTTCTCTGGTGTATTAGAAGCCAAAATGAACCAAACAAAAAAAGACACAAAAGGAATGTTGAAACTACAACAAAATTACTAAACAAAAGAATAAAAGAAGACAATGCACAGTACACAAAGTTGAAGGTTTTGATTTCCACCATCTGATTCTTTAAAATAAACTACAAGAAGACAATCCCAGTTAAAAAAAGAAAAAGAAAAGAAAAATGGACATCTTAGGCACCAAGACTGGGTACTGATAATGACTTTGATGTGTGATGGTGGACTGGAGGTCAACAAATGAAGCTGTAGGAGATTATCCAGATTTAGATAAATGACCACACTGATTTGCTATCATCTTTACACAGTCAAAGCAACTCTCATTTTCTCAAAAAACAAATAGGGACTAATTAAAGTCTTCTATTCTTTTAGTTATATTACTTGTCTGCATACAGGCTAGAGAGAACATTTATCTTTCACTTATTTAATAATATAATATAATACAGACAATGCAAACTCCAGGCTTTTCCTATAAAACAGCAATGGGGGATCTTACTACTTGCTAATGGCAGGTGGTCATTCTGAAACATAGGGCAATAGCAATTTGGCATGCCAAAAGGGTAGACTACATAACCTCCGAAAAACTCATTTTTCTTTTCACTTTCAATTTACTACATAAAAGACTAGCCAAGTTACACTAAAACGCAGTTTCAGCACTTCATATCCTACGTAGAAACTTGTAGTACATTATCTCATAAAATCCGCAAAATTACAAAAGAATATCTTTCCCCACTTCAATGCCAAATACTGACAGCATTCATGTACTGAAATTAATAACTTCAAAAAATTATTCATTTACTCGAAGACTATACCAAACCATTTACTAATTGATATGGCAGTATCTATCATTTGTCTTTGTTGCCAGTCATTCAATACAACAGGCTTGTAATATCTGCACTTCCTCTGCACACATGTCCAAAAAGTTTTATACAACTTTTAGGTCTTGCAATTGTGTACATTTTATCACTAGGTAGACGATGAATGACTTCATATCAAACAAGATATTCAAGGAATTTTTTCTGAATAAAAACTGCACCTTGATAGTCCCTCTACTTTCAAAGTTCCTATTTGCGCAAGCTTTTCTCGAAGTTCTTTATGCAAGGGCAGTGATCAATCACCAAAATTTGTTTAACATCCCAATAGTACCAAATTCCAGAATGGTACATTGATCATTTCATGTGAGATTCAGAGCTGAAATTAAGAACTTTCTACAAATCAAATGAGCCAAAGTTACACAAAATGCAGTGCTAAAATGACAAAATTTTCTTTTTCTTTATATTTTATAAAATGAGGATTTTGTATGTTATCCTTTTCTTTTGGTTCAACATTCACCAACAAACCTCAAATACCCCATTTTAATGCCTTTCAGTTTAAAACCTCTAAGTTAGCAAATTTGCTTAAAAAGACAAAGCAGAAAAAACTACAGGGATACCTATTCAGCAGAACCAAATGGCTTGTTTTTCACCAAAAAAAAAAATAAAAAAAATCACATGGTTCCAACCTCCTATCAAAGTAATATACCTAACAGAAGAAATAGGTAACAACAATCTAAACCAGTCATACAGGGCATTAAATAAAATCCCATTTCATTAAACACAAGTAGTAAAAGAAAAAAATATTTTTAAAAAGTAGGAATGAAATGCACATCTCCGGCTAAGAAAAAAACAAAAAAAAAAAAAACAAAGAAAAGTAACCTAACCATATAAATATTCACAAAAAACCAGGAAAAACAACTTTTGATTTTGCCATTGGTCAGCTCTCCACGCCGGAAGACCACATGAGGACCAACTACTCAAAACCCCCAAATGTTACCGTACAATGCCATGTTTGATCCGTACATAAACCCCAGCATTCAACAAAACCCACTACTCCAAAAGCATCATGGAGCAACAATAAACAATGTGATTATGCAGGCCCCAGGAAACGACAAACTACTAGCAAAACTAAAATCTTTTACACTAACTTGTGGAATACAATGCCGGATATTGGTTAAAAAAGTAAGCCTTTTTCATTTTTCCATTAAATAACAAATGCATAATATAATACTTAATAGCAGACATTTTTACCCGGTGGGCCTCTGCTGTTGGTTGGTGGTCCTCCATGTTTCCCTTTGACAAGGGTTCTTTCTTTGGAGACTGTGCGACTACTTGGAGTGTGGTAGCAGTGTACTCTGTGTGTGTGTGTGTGTGAGAGAGAGAGAGAGAGAGAGAGAGAGAGCGTTTTTAAAGAGAGCACGGAAGACGGAAAGGAACCAGACGAGGTTGAAAAGGGTCCAAATCGAGTCCAAGTGGACAAACAAACAATTATTGACATTAATTTGACCTGGAAATATTTAGTAATAATTATTTAATAATTGGTAGCTGCTGATTGATGATTTATATATGGATTATTTAATAAAAAGAAAATAATTACGGATTTTTTATTTGCTAATAATGTGTTTGGAGGAGAAGAATTAAGGGGACTTTTCGGCTGACACGTGCAGATGTTACGGTTGTTAAGGTAATGATTAAGATTGGCATTTTTATTTATTTATTTATAGTTTTGGGGTTCAGGAGGGAGGTGTGCGGGCGTGATGGGGGAGTGTGCCTTGACCGTGAGAGATTTGAGAAATGTTGGGGAGTGTTTTACAATTCCCAAGAATGTTTCCCATTGTTTACTTGTTTTGGAATTCAGGAAGAAAGAAAAATTGAGAATTTTGAAAACAATAAATAAAAGTATCCTACTTATATATAATATATAAAAAGGAGTTGTTTATGTGGCTCTGGAAAAATTTTCATCCGTCGTATATTGGGATAACATAGGAAAAGTTGAAATAGAATACAAATGATTGAACTAACTATACAAATCTATAATGCGCGTTTCAGAACGATTTGAGTATGATACCCTTTGTTATATGATGATTAGATTCTTAATTTGGTTATGAAAATTGTACAAGAATATAATGCAAGTATGAAATTAAGATAAATTTAATGTTCATAACAAGATTTAATTGTTTCTTACCCATTGCAATCATAACTATACAGTGATTCGCATGCTTCTCCTTCTTCAGTTTTCTATGTTTTAATATCGAGAATCACGACTACAATGTGATTGGAATTCTTCTTCTTCAATTTCCTTTTCTTTTTCTTTAAAGTGCAGCTATTGTTCAATATTTTGTTATTTCTTCTGCTTCTTTTCCTTTTTTGGCTCTAGATAATTAAGGAGGTATGCTTTGTTCTTCTCCTACTTAATTTGGTTTGTTTTGATTGGTTGATCTGCAGAATTATTTTGGTGTTGTTGTTATTTACAAATTTGCGATAATAATTTACTATATAGAAAAAATGCTATTCCTTTTAGTATGCGAGTTATAATATATAAGAATTGGTCTACGAATTGTACATCTAGCTATAGTTTGCTTTATTGTTAATTGTTTATATTAAATTATTTAACTGCCTTTTCTTCAGGAATTAAGTTTGATTTTGAGCGGCTAACATCTATGTTTTGGTGTTTGATTTATCAAAGTACAAAAATTAGTAAAAATGAATAAGTTATTTAACAATGTTTTTGTTGATATTAAGGAATTATTATCGTGTACTTCATTTCATGAGTACCGGAGTAAAAGAATGAGCATTCTTTCTTGTAGCAACGCCATTTGTGAACATATTTGTAGCTAAAATAACTTTCAAGGATGCTTCTAAACTATATTCATTAGCTATTCATGCCAAAATAATTTTACACACAATGGTTTCATTAAGTGTCAAAATTTGTGTGATATTGTTATGGTTGAGGATAATTTTAAATTATGTGTTATTGTGCAATTATGTTAATAATTTCTTATATCCATATGTTATTTTCCATTCTTACTCCCCCCCCCCCCTTTCATCCTTGGATTAACTTCCTGTTCTACTTAATGAAATTTATAAATTGAGCAAATAACGATTCTTTAATACACGAGTAAGTTTCTATTACATTACTTCTCATACTTCTCACATTTCTTTCATTTTCTTCTTAACTAGATAGAATAAGTGTGTTAGCATAACTTATACTAATACATATATATTAAATTACTGATTACAATTTTTACTAATTATACATTTATTCTATTAAATACACCCACGGGAGAAGCAGGGCGGGGCAGGGCGAGAGAGCAAGTGACGAGGGGCAAGGTGAGAGTGGGGGAAATGTTTGGGCAACGGGGTTCCTACTTAAAGGTGTCAATTAATCAAACTACTCGACTTGTTCTTGTTCTCAAGAGTAACTCAGTCAAAACTTGACTCAAATTCGGCGATTGAGTTTGAGTCGAGTTTGACCTATTTGATAAAATAATAGAGTCGAGATCAAGTAAAAATATCAAAATTCGAGTACTTGTCGAGCCTTATCAAATAGTATATTTATAATATAATTTTTAATTATTTACTATAAAATTATGAAATTTACTAAAAAACGGAGCTTGAAAACTCAATTGAGCTCCATTTGGTCAATTTCAAGTTTGAACTTGAATTCAAGTAAGGTAAAATAAGTTGAAACTCGAGCTCAAGTTCAACTTTGAAGAACTTGACAAGCTTGAGTTCGAGTTCATTTACACTACTCTAATTTAACTCGACTTGACTCGACGATTCGATAGGAGCTATGTTTTTAAACTCGGACCGGACCGGATAGTTCAACTAATCAAATCGAGAACCGGCAAAGCATTCGGTCCGAGTTTGTCTAAAAAAACCATGTGGTTAAGACTCTATCAAAACCCCGGTTAGACCAAAAACCTGAAAAACCCAAAAAAAAACCCAATTTTTTCAAAATTTGACTTCTTTGATGGTTTTGTCTGAAAATCTCAAAGCAAATCTTGATTAAAAATCATAGATCCGGTGGTAGCCATGGCACAGCCACAATTCTCCCAACATTCAAATTTTGCAAGATCTAAAACTAAAAAATTGTCAAAAAATGAGAAGAGAATTGGAGATAAAAATGAATATAAAGAATAGGAATTGATGTTCTTGATTAAAACGCCAGATCGGGGTGGTGGTGGCAGCGGCACGGCCACTTACAGTTCTTCCAACATTCAAATTTTGCAAGATCTAAAACTAAAATAAAAGAATTATAAACAAATGAGAAGAACATTGAAGACAAAAATGAATATAAAGAGTAAAAGTTGACGTTTTCTTTTGGTGAAGAAAGAAAAGAAGACAAGATTTTAGAAGTTTGAAAAGCAGAAGGAAGGAAAGAACGTGATAGGAAAAGTGGATGTTGCAACCTGGAGGAGAAGAAATGATGAAGAAGACAACGCCGGCGCATGCACTTCCTTATAAACCTAAGACTTAGAAAGAAGCAAAAAATTAGACATTGGTCCAAACTTTTCTATTATTCTGTTTTGACCTCTAAAATTTTTGAACAATAGTAAATGCTTTCATAAATTTCTTTATTTGTTCAAATAACTCTCATAAATTAGTTTTAGGCACATCACGTTTCATTTAAAGCTTAAAAACATTCAATTACAGTTATGATTGGAGGATGCTAAAGTTTAGGATGTATAAAAATACAAATAGAGTGATAAAAGAAACATTTTTTATCCATATTAATAATATACTTACACATATTTTTATATACGATCTATTTAATTTTTAATTAATATATTTATGACATTATGATGACATCACTCAATTTTTAGATAGATTCGATCTCAGTCGAACTCGTTGACACTTGACCTTTGAGCTCGACTGGGTCGCTACCTGGTCTAAATTTCAAAACATTGGATAGAAACATGTGATACATCACCTTACCTTCTCTCTCCTCTCCTAATTGCCAACCCTCACCTATCCTCCCCAGGACCAACCCTCCTCCTCCTCCTCCTGCTAGCCTTTTTCCACATTGGTGTTGCAAACCCCATCTACATGCCTCAATCTCTCTCCTCTCCCAATGGCCAACACTCCTTTCTGTCCTCCCCCATGACCGATGACCTTTCCTCTCTTCCTGTCCTCCTGATTTGCTAACCTTTTTTCTTCCTTGGTTTTGCAGGCCTCCCTTCCGTTCCTTTCTACCCACATAGCCCGCAAAGG